TATTTTCTTGTTGAAACTCCAACTCATGCCGAAAGTAACAGCTATAAGCAGAACTCCAGGACTTCCGGAGGCAAAAGGCGCTTGAGCGGCTCACAGAAAAAATCTGTGGTGGACCAGACCTCGAAACAACACCTGCGGTCGGCAAGTACCGTATTGGCCTCGCAGGCACAGGCCTGCAAGGACAGACAGAAGGGCTCCGACCTGGTGACCATGGAGCGATACAGCTACAGTCTGGAGCTGCACAAGCATTTCCGGAAAGTTCGGCGGCTCTCGCTTTGCATTGATGGTGTGCAGGTCGGCAGCTACAGCTTGCTGAACACGGTGGCCTGTGATCTCCAGTCAGGCTGTAGCGGCATCTGCCCACCACAGGCCTGGACTTGCCAAGAGACAGCCCTAAAACAGACATGAAGAGGCTGACATGTGGACTGGTTTGGCAGGTCGAATTCCTCGGCGCTTTGGCGTTCGGTTCGGGCCTGTTTTTTAGATTGTTTTGGCTCCGTTTTTGCACGTCGAATTCCTCATACCTTTTGTTTTTTGTCCTGTTTATAATCTTTGTCGAATTCCTCGGCGCTTCTGCGGGCTGCGGGCGGCCACTTTTTGAACTAAAAAATGGGCCTGTTTTTGAGCTCCGGGGAGCACGTTTTGCACGTCGAATTCCTCATCTCTTGTGCGCTCGGGAGCCGTTTGTCAAATTCCTCGTCGCTTGGGCGCTCGTGCAGCAGACATGCATTAAAACATCGCCCAAAAACACGTAACAAAGGAATTAAAGACAACCATGGACGAGAGAAGCCATCGTGTCACCCCATGTGTTCACAGTGCCAGACCCCAGCCCGTGTTGACAGGTCCTGAAAAAGCTCAAGGAGAACAGCGGCCCTGCTGGCAACCAGCAATCCTGGAAGAGGAGGGTAGCTGAGTTCGTGAAGAACCGAGACGACGAAACCCTGAACAACAGAAGGAAAAGACTCAGGGACAAGTCCTCAGTAGAGCCCGTGCGAGTAGCCACGATGCAGTGGATGTTAGACATCAATCACAGCATGCAGTGGCTGGGCTCCTCTCTCAGCGATTTCTTTATCAGCGAGGAGGACATCAAGCAAAGCGAGCAGCCGCCAACTCTGGTGATCACTACGGACCAAGAGGGCACACAGATTGCAGCTACGAACTTCCTCAGATGGCACCTGAATGCATGCATCGAGCACACATACGATCCTCAGCACAGGAGGTCCAACGATACCACCCTGGCACTGGGACAGGCTGGCGTGTTGAAGCAAGCCTGCCATGCAGTGGGCCTGTACAACTTGCAGTATGGGCCTTTTCAGAAGGGAGGCTTTCATGAGCAGGTGGTGGATGCAGCAAGAGAGATGCACGAGGGCATGAGTCCCAACGATGACCTGCTGAAGCTCTTCTTCGGTGACATCCTCCTGGACTTGGGAGAGAGCCTGGACAACAACAACGAAGCCAGGCGGAGGCAGTACCTGCGAGAGCTTCCAAACTCCCCCATCGTCAAGTCCAAGGGACCCAAGGCGAGTATGAGCCGTTTCAACTCACTGCAGCACTCACAGGATCACCTCGACAAACACTGGAGCAGTTTCGCTTTGATCCTGACCGTGGTGTGCCTCACTCAGAAGTTCGTCGACTTCGCCGACGAGTTGTGGGCCCCGGCAGGAGCAGTGGCAGCTATCCTGAAGGAGCAACCGCCGGTTTCTGCCGCCACAGCCAAGAAAGAGGCCAAGGAAGCCCTGAACAACATGCGATCAAAGACAAGAAACACTTTGCACCTGTACTGCAAGTGGATAAACGACCCCGTGAACAAGAACTTGGCTCGTATGCTGTTCTACCTGCAGAAACCAGAGAGCGACGACAGCGGGCAGATGCTGGCCAGCATGCGAAGTGCAGCTGCTTGCCGGGAGCACTTTAAGAAGTGGAGTCAGTGGAGCTTCCTGGAGATTGCCCAGCAGCAGATCGCCGTGCTCAGCAATCTCACACTGCTGTCCAGGATGGGGTTCGAGATGAGTCGCAGTGCAAGAACCAGGAGTGAGCTCACTGAGGAGAAGCTTCAGTGCGAAGATGCCTTGGCCAGGAAGTGCTGGCTGGTGTTGTGCAAGTTGCTGAAGTTCCGCCTGGGTTCCATGACTTGGCACACATGGTCTCTCCCCGGCATCTGTGCAGGCCTGCTCTTTTACGAGGACACAGCGAAGCAGCAAGAGACCCGATCCTTCCTGCGAACCATCGACCAGGTCGTCGTGGCTTGCGAGGAAAAGGGAAGCCTAGCAGCCAAAGAGTTGCTGCAAGGCCAGGGTTGCAACAGCCCCCTCATGAGATGGCTGAGACACAGGTTCCGAGAAGAAGCCCCAGACTACTCGAGAACACCACCTTGTGTAGGCAAGTGCATCTACGAAATCTTCGGTGGTTTACTCAACACGAAACTGGTCGAGGACCTCAATAAATTGCAGCGAGAACATGAGTGCCGTGACACGAACAGACAGGAAGTGAGTCCAAGCCTCAGCTGGAGAGCAGGCACCCAGCACAACTTGCTGGGAACCTACGACAGACAGGAGATCAAGGTGTCTTGCCTCAGCAACATGCCCCGTGACTACGAGTCGGATGCCTTCTACAACCGCAACATCGTCAAGAATGAGACGGCGGAGCACAAGAAGCTTGAGCACGACCTGAAGAAGGTCACAGGGCCAGCCACCTGGTACATCTGCACACCAGAGTCACAGCAACAGACGTTTGCGAACTTGGCCCTCCTCACAGAGATCGGCGATGAATACCAGAAGGTGGAGACCGCATGGCATGCCTCCCTTCTTCCAGAGCACCAGGTGGTGACGAAGTCTAGCCAGGCAAGCTCGGCGGCAGCTAAGTACTACTTCGTGGTTCGCAGCTATCGCAATGCAGCTTTGGCCTGGGAGATGTCCTGCGTCAACAGGAAGAAGCCCAAGGAGAAAGAGTTTGCCTTTAAGAAGGTGACAAAGCTGGAATGGCTCTTCCTCTTCAACAAGAACGACTACTTGGTGCACAAGTTGACGGCACATTCCCCCAGCAGGGTTTGGATGCTGAATGAGAAGCAGACGGGTGCTGGTTGCAGCATCTGGAGCAGCATGGAGCCGAGCACCCTGGAGCAGCACCACACATTGCACGGATTCTCGGGAATCCCGGAGGACATCCTCAAGAGGATGTGCAATGAATGGGAAGTCGGCGTGGCCAGCGTGCCCAAAGGCGTCACAGAGCAGCAGGCCCTGCAGACTGCCTTGACCTTGCATCACGACCCAGCAACAACCGCCGAAGAGGTCCTGGCCAAAGTCTTCGACAACTCGGGAGCTCTTGAGGGCGAGTGCAGCGACGAGATCCTGGAAGAGGTCCAGCAGATCATGGAGGACTCTGTCATTCAGCAAGATCGAGACCAGATTTTGAGCATTCTGAAGAAGAGCGAACAAGTGAAGCAAAACAGGCAGAAGTCCGTGGACAGCCTCACTGCGTACTTTGAGGAGACGGTCAAAGTCCTGGCACCAGCGAAAGCTGCTGAGAGGAAGAAGAGCTTGACAAAGAAACCGAAAAAGAACGAGGCGGCAGATGTGCCCAAGGACAAAAAGGCGGAAGCCAGCAGCAGCAAGAAGAAGATCGAGGAAAGCTCCACAGATCCCCCATGCGAGCCCGGAAGCTCCTACGACAACAGGCATTACCAGTCTTTGAACGAGGCCATTGACGGGTACATCAGAAAAGGGAAGCCTGAGAACATGCACATGCTCACAGATCCGAAAAACGGACGATGGCGGTTGACGTGGAAGAGTGCAGAGGCCACGGAACAGCGGAGTGTCTCCTGGACCCACGTGGGGGCCAAGCTGGCCGCCGAGGAGGTCTTGAAACAAGGTTGGGATTGGAGCAGAACTTACTTAGGTCGCGACATGACTCCAGAAGCAAAGCGCTGCCTGGAGATGATCCGGAATCATTCTTGAAGGCCTGTATTGTTGTTGTTTTTCGTTGAGGGGGGAGAGGAGGGGGTGGTCCTGTGACACATGATACAGACTACTGCAAGATCCCTTGCAGGTGTGTTCGAGATGACGAAGATCGCACTCCACACACTTGCGATCTGACATCTGCTGAGGTCAAAGATCTCAGAAGATGGAAGATGCTGACAGCCACTAAGCCAGTTGAGATGCTGAGTGGACTCACGGTCTTCATTGACTAAGCAGTCGTTCGCCTCTGTTGTCGGTCTCAAGAAGAGAATCTGAAGAGGACAGCAATCCTTGCAAGACCGATTGACAGAAGCAGGACTAGAGTGAATACTCAGAAGTTTGTTGAAGAGTTTTGGTTTCCAGTAGCTAGCAGCGTAGGTAAATGTGTTGAGTCTTTCCCAAAGGAATAGACACGTTCTCCATTCAGAAGGTCCACCCTGAGCAAACTCCAGTTTCACGGGACAATGCACACCTGCTGCAAGCAAATAATGAAGGAAGAAGACTACTGCATGTGCATGTCAACACTTGTGCTGCAATGCATGAAGCCTCGTTTTGAACTATGACACATTGCAGGTGTCCTGTATGTTTGCTTTGTGGGCTGAAGCTCAGGGCACGTGTCTGGTAAGGAAGACAACCACCGCACACAGTTTTTGCCCTTGCAAGATGGTTGCGGAGAAGGTCTTGCTGCATACCTGCAGGATTTCTTAGAAATCCACGGCTTTCAGGATCGCGAAAGATCACGGTCACGATCGCCACATTACGAGTGGCGTTGGTGCTGGCGATCCGTGTGGATCGGACAGAGAGAGCGGCTGTCATGCATTTTAATATAGAGTTGCACGTGCATGCAATCTGTTAAACCAAGGATCTGGTACTGGATTTGGTGGCGACACCGGACATCCTGCTGAACACCACTGATCCGAGCTAGCAGCTAGCAACACGGATGCTCGAGCAGCCTTAATTCGATTTTCCATGGGGCAACCCCTTGGACTGGACTCCATCATAGAATCTACACATGTGCAGAAAAAGAAGCTACTAGATCGCTAATGCTTGGACCGCAAGGGTAGATTGTAGT